CCTGCAGACAGTAATTAGATAATTAACATCTCAAACCAGCTGGTAGTTTCAGCAGCACCGTGTTCAAGCAGAGAACTGTAGAATCATTAAGGTTGGAAAGACCACTAAGAACATCCAGTCCAACTATCAGCCCACCCCCCCCGCGGGCGCTATAACCACATCCCTCGGTGCCACACCAACCCTTTTCCGGACGGTGACCCCGGCCACAGCTCATCTCCCCCGCAGCTCCCGGAGGGGCCGAGCGAGGCCCGGCCGCGTTGCAAAGCACAGGCCAAGAAACGAGATGCGAGAACCCCCAGCTCCAGTGCAAACGAGCACGCACCGGGCCGGGGCCAAGCCAGGGGCTGCACGGCGCTGCACGGCACCGCTCCCCACCCCACAGCCACCCCCCACTCCCGCCTACCTGCGTTCGGTACCGGCGTCGCCCCACCGAACCGCACATGCACGCATGCGCACCCAGCAGCTCCCCGACCCCACCCCGACGCCATCTTGCGCCCTGGCGAACGAAGCCACCGCCATCTTGTTCGAGGGCAGCTCGAGGAAGGGGAGGGGGAAATGACCGCCTCGCTGCTGCATTTGCGTTAGCCCCTCCCCGGAGGTGGCTTCCTCAGTGGGACGGGCTCCGTAGGGCCCTTCTAGCCAGGCACGCTGTTTGCTCTATGGCTGCTCGGAACGCGGCGTGCCTGGCCTCCAGTCGCCATGGAAACGGCGAGCTCTGGCCTGAGTGCGTCCTTCCTATGGCCTTCGTCATCAGCTGCATAGGAACTCCTTCCAACGTTCGTGTTACATTGCGTTGGCCAGAGCGTAAGAGAAAAAGAGTCTGCAATTGTCTTCTACAATTCCAGATCAACTTTGAGCACTTTCTCTGGAGCCGGAGGTGTAACATTGCCTTGGCCTCTCCTTGCAGCCCTTGCTCTGATCCAGCACTGTTTTCTACAAAACAGAGACAGGACCCCAGTATCTGCGTTTTCAGAAGCACCACTGCACCCTGTTCCTTCCTGCTGCTCTTGTACCAGCAGCTTCCTAACCGCACGGCTTTTATAAACTCGTGGAAGCTGGCAGTTAGTTGCGGTTCTTGTAACTAAGGGAGGGGCGTGGAGGCGTTCAGCCCAGCTGCAGCCCGTGAAGGCAGCACAGGTGCTCGGGATTGGCCCGCAGGACAGCAGAGGTACAAACGTGAGCTGAGCCCTGGCTCTCCATTTTCTACCTATAGGGGTCTTCCCTTAAAGCTGTGTGCCTCCTGTTAGCTTTAGCAGCCTGGTGCTTTTGTTTTTCACCTGGGCACGCAGTGTGGGAGGAGGGTAGGTGCTGCAGCCCTGGCTACGGCTGCATGCTTCAGCAAGGTGTGGTGCTGTGCCTGAGTCCTCTACCTGGTGTGTCACAGAGTGTGCTGCTAAGAGGAGGCTGCAGGAGGGAAGCTGCCTTCCCCAGGTCAGGTTATCCTGCTCTTCCTGGCTCTTGATTCAAGCAAAGGCACCATCTTGGCTGTTTTTTTTTTCCTGAGGGAGTGAGTACGCTCAGAATCTCATTTCTGCACTTATCTGTATACTAAAGACTTAACTATGTTGTTGTGGCAAAACAATACTGCTGCTATGAGCATGCAAGTGAGCAAGTTGGAGCTTTGTTTGGGTTTCATTTCCCTTTCACTTCTGCGTGCCCTCTGCTCTCTAACAGAAGCAAGTCCATGTGCAGTGGTACAGCTAGCTTGGGGGTGTTGATTTATGGTACTGCTCCAGCCTGTAACTTTCTGAGTACCTCCTGGTTGTGGAAGATGCTACTTTAAGTTATTGTAGCGATAGGATATGAGCCCTTCAATTAAGGAAAATGACATAGATCTCTCTGAATGTTTGTATTCTTGGAAACAGGGCTGCATTTTCTCTTCCATTAAAAAAAAAAAAAAATCAGTAGCGCTACTTGTAAACTATGTTCTGGTTGTCCAAAGGCTTACAACAGGAAGTTAGAAAAGGTGTATGTATATTCTGTAGAACCCAAGGTCAGCAGAAGCTGTAGCTGTTTGCCCTAAGGGTGCAATAACAGCAGTATTCCCACAGCAACTTTATCTCAGAAGCTTGAAGTTAAGCTAGAAACATATCATGGGTGTCTGAAAACATCTTTCTGTAAGAGAAACTTGTTTTATGAGCTAAAAGAATGACATGTTGTACAACTCCAAATTCCAGAGATAATCAGTTTCTCTCCCTGTCTGGGCACTGATGCTATGGAGGGTCCATTACCGTGAGTTTCTCTTTCCTTCTGTCTCAACAGTGCAACTCCTACGTAGGAAGCAGGGAACGCAATACCAAGTGCAGTCAGTACACACATAGCTCAAGTGCAAGTGGCTTGTTGAGGTTGGTTGCTAGAATGCAGCAGCAGAGGAGACCTACTGTGAGCATGTAGTCACTCTGGAGAAACAGACTTAGGCCTTTGCAGCAAGCCAGAAGGCTCCCCTAAGAAGACTTATAGGGTAAAATCTTGTAATCAAACAGCTGAGAGAGCAGGATGGTGCAAAAGTACAAAGAAAAGTGTTTAAAGCACATTGCTCTGCTATGCAAACTGTTTACGTACAATAAAGAGGTTCTGTAAGTAACTGGAGCTAGGAAAGGGAGCCAAGGCTGAAGCTGAAAGATTTGTTTTGGTGTATGTGAAGTCAACAGCTGTGGTTGGATAATTACAGGGGAGTCTGAAGAAACTCTTAGAGGGCAGAACCTTGAAAGGCCAACCAGACCATATCAGTAATGCCATATAAGGCTGAGATTGCCTAGGTAACGGTATCAGGAGGAGTAGGCTTGGTTATGGATGTAGCAACACTGAGACCAATGGGGAAGGAGTGCTTAGGGGTGGATTGATTGTTTGGGAGGAGATCTTCTGGAGGAGCGGAGGCATGAGCAGGGCAAAAATGTGAGTACTGAAATGAGAGAAACTGGATCTTAAATTAGATGAAAGAACTAAGGAAGGTAGGATTGGCTAAATGCAGGAATGCAGACACCTATGAATGGTGGAAGAGCCTGAGGACCCAAACCTGCTGGGATGCAGAAATGGCCCAGCTCCTTGAACAGCCTGTTGGACTCAGTCAGGCCCCAGTCAACGAGATTTGGTGTGGGAGGGCAGAGCAAAGGAGTGATGGTGGGAGGGAAGGGAGATGCACCTCTAATTCAGTGTCTGTAGTATGTGGTTTGTTAAAGCTTCTGATAAAGCCTTTAGTTGTGCACAGAACGATACAAATAACAAAGAGTTACTGGTAGTGTGTTGATGAGGTTATTGATTCTTCAACTGACTTATTGGAGTGAGCAATCCGTAAAAGTCCATTGGATCAGTTTATTGGCACTGTAATCTAAATGAGGAGAGCTACCTGTAGAAGGGACAGCAAGGGGCTCATCCAGGATCTCTCAGCTTGGAAGATTGAACTAACTGATGTTGAGACCTTCTATCTGAAGAGGTGTGCGGATGAAGGAGATGGGCAGCAAACAAACTTTATGCAATGAACTTTGGGAGGAGGAGGAGGAGGATGGTGTGCTGTGTGCCAGCTGCTCTTTAACGTGGAGGGGACCCCTGGGACCAAGAATGCAATGTAGTGCAGATTAAAGAAAGCAGTGCTGGAAAGCAGCTTTTAGAAACAGGGCTGCCTCTGGGAGAGGGTTTGGGTAAGAAACTGGTGGCTTCTAGTAAGGCAGGCTGGGATCCTGAGATGTGAAGAGACCTGAACTCAGCTGAGGAAAATGGCTTTGATGCCAAAGGTGCCTACAGGGAAGGTGAAGCTGCTGGTGGGACTTATAGCCACTCAGAAACCAAGCCATGGGGAAAGGAGCTGTGCAGAAGAAGGGGGAGAAGTGAGTTGGTGTGTGTGTGTGTGGCCAGCACTGGGAAAGCTACCCCAGAATCTATGTGGAGGGATGAATAGCAGTAGTGTTTAGGACTGCTCTGGTTGTAAGAAGGGCTGACTGGGAGCTCTGCTGATGCAACCCTGAAGTGTGGCTTGCTTCTTCTAGTGCTGGCAGTACAGCTGTTCTGACACTGTGTTATCCAGCAGCTGCAGCAAGAGGAGGAGGAAGGAGGTGGCTGCTCCAAACCTCCCTTAGCCTGCAGTCAGCTGCCTTTTGACTGCTAGCAAGGGCAGAGGTATGCAAGGGAGTGGCTCTTGTATCATCAAAGTCAAGAAGAGGCTTGCTGTGCAATGACGAGGACTTTTCCTGATGCTTTGATCTCATATGGAGCCTGGGCTTTGCACAGACTCCAGATGCCAGATCTATACTAGATTTCAGCGTTTCTTGGAATGCTGCTCTGAACAGCTGAAACAGATCTGCTTCCTCTTCAGAAGGTCTTTGCAAGGGATGACCAACATCTTCACTGCTATTGCCATGGCTGCCAGCACCAGCTGAAGCCCTCTTTGTGGTGCAGCCCTCTTTCTGGTCAGAACTCAGAGGAATCTTCTGCCTTGTTGCCTGTCCTGCAGACAAGGTGAAGGTGTCTGCTGCCTTCCAGCTTGGAAAATGAGATAAGGAGGGGCTGCAGCAATACCCACCTCCTGCAGCACTCCTTGAACCCAGATTCCAGTAAAATATCCTGATCAGGTCCTCAGAACAAACGTGCAAAACTGCCTGAATTGGTGGGTTTCTCCTGATTCTAGTAATAATGTCACATCTAATCTTTCAAACCTTTTCCACTCTGTAGATCTACTGCTCTTTGGGGGAAATGTTAGGCTTTCATTCCAAGTACCTGTGTGTCTCTGCAAAGCCCTTTTATGCCTGGTGGCTGTTCTCAGACCGCTTTCAGTATCAATTCTCTTCCTTCCCACACCGCTGCCAGATACTACAGGGGAGTGTGTCAAACAGCCTCACCCCTCTTCTGAGAAGTGAAGGCTGTGTTCTCCTGCCCCACCAAGTTTCCGTCCAGAAATATCTTACAGTAATTGGTGTGGAGGGGCACTGTGTAACAGCTGCCTGGAGGCTGATTGCTGCTACATGCACTGTGGCTTTATAGGAAATGTGTTGTGCATATTTCTGCACGCCCACAGTGATATCCAGGGCACAAGCTTGAAGCAGCAAGCTCCTCCTGAGTTGCCTGCTTGGTTTCAGCTGCTGCGCTGCATCAGCTGGGGTGCCTGCCTCCCCTGCTGCACCAAATTCCTTTTAAGATGCTACAAGAGTTCATCTCTTCCAGAAGTACATCTTCGTGATGCCTCAGGGATGATGTGGGAACCTCTTGGGAAAGTATTTACTGCCCCTTGGAGGGCTTTGCTGGAACCATGTGGGTTTACTGTTGTCTTGGAGAGTGTAGCAGAAACCTGTGATGCTGTTTTTTTTCCTCTTGGGAAAAGGGGCAAAATATGAAAGTGCTTGCAGGATGAAGAAAGCGTGGGAATTTGTGCTCCTAGTTAAAAATTAAGACCCAGAAGAGCCAGCTTGCCTGCTCTGTACCAAGCTGTTGTGCTTTACTGGAATTCCTGTGTTGCTGCCAGGCACGTCTGGCTGAGTGAGAGCATTCCCTCTGGGAAGATATCCAAGTGCCCTGTCCTGCCAACTGGTCCTGCTGATGGAGGAGCCAAGTGTTGTATTGTGCTGCATGGGCTCTGTGCTGCTTCCTCTCCTCTCCCTCTGACTAAGAAGCACCCAAGAGGCCTATCCTGGAGTAAGATTTTCTTCTGAGACCTTGACCAGAGAGAGTGATCTTTTCTGGCAGGCGGGAGAAGGAAATGACAAGGGAAAAATAAGACGACTCATTGCTTTAATCCTTTCTCACAAGCTATTTCTAGCTACCAGGATAAGCATGTGAGACTGTCACCAGAGCTTTGGAGTGCAAATCTGAGCCCACGTGCTGGGTGCACTGTTCCTCTGGGCAGGAACAAGCTGCTATGATCACCCTCGAGTGGAAAAAACCAAGCATGCTGGGATGCTAAATTGATCTTGACACTTGGGCAAAGTGGGTCTTTTGTAGGGACAGGGCAGAGCTGCCCATCCTGGGGTGCTGGGGAGATGGGGATTGCTCTGCCCCTGCTGCCTGGAGCTGTGCCCAGTCTGAAAGCAAAGTGCCTGCTGCACCTGTGTGCATTGATGTGCACCGCGCTCAGGTCCTGGTGCATGCTAACATGCATGGCTCTGTTGGCTGGGAGCACGTAGGCAACCTTCAATTGTCTATTTGAAATGAATGAGTAGGTTTGATGGTAATGTCTCTTTTCCACAGACACTGAAGCTTCCTTTAAGTTTTCTCACTTTTTTTTTTTTTCCAAGCAAGGCTTTTGTGACTTTGCCAGATGGCAAGGATTTTGCAGAGTCTGCTCAAAAATATAGAGATTAACTGGAAATAACTTATGACTTCTTCATCCTCTTGGTTAGGGGAAAATGTTGCTCTTACTGTGCTCGTCCCTGTACCTTTGGGGGGTGCCTCAGAAGTGGTGACAGATCTGTGGATTTTTTATTTATTTATTTATTGGTGAGGTGGAGAGGAGATCAAGGCAGGAAGAAAGCCAGAAAGGTCTGAAAGTTGGGGTGCTGGAACAACTGAGGACAAAAAGCAGCTGAAGGGAATCTCCTGATCTGCCTTGGTGAAAGCAACCTGCAGACATGCTACAGATGCTCCTGTGGTGGTACAGTGGCACAGCCTCTATGTTGGTCAGTGCTGCTGTCAGGCTCACTTCTCTCAGAGGCCGTGCAGTCCGGCATGGGTTTGACTATGTTCCTCGGGTTTCTACAACTCGCACAGTTGTGTTTTCTTGTATCCCAGAATCAAGAAGCCCAGCAGCTCCCTGAATTCAAGCGAGCTTTGGTAACAGTGAAATTCTGCTGTGGGGAGTGTCCAGCAAAGCCATACACTTCTCTAGTGCTAGGAGATAACTGCTGCTGCTACAAACACAGAAATGCCGCAGGCCGGTAGGGCCGTTCAGTGTTATTAGTGGTTGATTCATCACCTGTAGCAAGTAACTGTGTAACAGAGCAGTGAAACAGTTTTCTCTGCACTTGAGCTACCAAGCATTCTGTGGCTCTGTACTGCGAATGTTTTGCAATTTCCCCGTTGCGGCTCTGCCTGGGTCAGCTGGCACTGAAGCAAGCTTTGCTCGGCAGACCAAGTATTTTGGAAGCTGTGGTGTTGTGTTGGGCTCCTTGAGCTGCACCAGGAGTTGCTGGAGTCATCTCTGGCAAAGCCAGGAAGAGTTGGAAGTAGGGCGCTCTCTCCAAACCCAGAGAGTGGTTGTGTTCATCTGGCTGCAACCTTCTTGGGAACCTTCTCATTCAGCTCCAGCTAAGTGGGGCTGAAGCCTCTTCTAGCAAGGTCAGAAGAGCTGGAAGGGCTCGAAGGGGGAAGAACCTTGTTTCTTGCTGGTACCTTTCTTACTGGTACCTTTCTTACTGGTTTGTTCCTTGTTGCTTCCTGCAGGTGACTGCAGCTCCTGGGCACAGCAGTGCCAGCCCCTCCACACCTCCCCTGCGCTAGCAGGAAGCTGGTGAGCGCTGCTGGCTGCTCCTGGCTCAGGAGTAGAGAGCTGAGCCCAGCTTGCCCTTTCATGCTTAGGACCTCCAAACCCCAGGGAACAGGCCTGAGGGTTCTACTGAGGTTCTGCAGAGCTTGACACAAAAGTGAAGGAAGGGAACAGGTAGCAGCCTGAAGAGACAGGTCAGCCTTGTTGCCTTTCCTTTCTCCCACCACTGCTCCTGAAGAGCAGAGGAGAGAGGTGCATGCTGTTGGGTGCTTCCTTCCCACACTTAATGCTTTCACAACAATGGAAGTAGAAACAGGTGAAGAGGAAGAGAAGGGATGGCTGGGGCTGGACCCCTCTTCCAGAGAGTGCTACTTAAATTCATATTTTAGTTTTCAGCACCTGGCTTTTGGTGCCTTCTGGCTACAGGTGGTCTAGCCTTCCCTGAAGTCTTACTTGCTCAACTTCCTTATGAGTGTGGGAGAATTTTGGGCAGGCTGGCACTGGTTCTGAGTGCACTTGATCTGTTGTATTCTCACTCAGCTCTATAGGGTATAGCACGACTTCGGTCCAGCTGTGTTTTCTAAGCCAGCCTCTGGAAACTGAAGCAGCATGAGGGTCAATGTGAGCAATACACACTGATGCAATGGTGAGATGAGCCACATTTTCAGCCCCTGAGGGTGTGAGGCTGCAGACAGGCTGGAGCAGGAACAGGACAGCACTGGGCTGCTGTGGAGCAGAGCTATTGACAGCCCCTGCAACTTGCCCAGGCAGCTTTGCAGGTTCCCCTGGGGCTGGAGCACTCTTTGGGTTATGTCAGCTGTCAGCACCCTGCTCAGGGTGATCTGCTTCCAGGGATATGTCCTCAAGTCTGTGGTTGGGCATGTGATTGCTGCGCTGGAGCTTTCTCATCTGCTCTCAGTCCCATCTTGTTCTTCCTGTTATCTCTTCAGTTTGCTTCTTTTTGTCAGCTGTCCTGCCTGTTGCCAGCACCATCTCATAGTGCTCAGGCTGCTTTGGTGCAGGAGGCCCAGGAGCCTGGTGCCTGCTCTCCTCTTCCCAGACATCTACTGTGCTGGGTAAACCTCAGTCAAGGCAGATACAGGCGTTATTGTATTGAAGCAGCTTGAGCCTTTATTTTTAAAGGGCTATGACAAAGTACTGTAGACTTCTTTTCCTGTGTTCCTTTTTGGGGAGTTTGGCAGTTGTGGTGAGCTCTGGCTCCTGGGTTGCAGCTGTGTGAAAGGGGCAGAGCCTGGTCCAGGACTGCTTTGCTGTTCAGGGGCTGGGCTTTGGTTCTGCCCTGAGGCAAAAGCAGGCTTCAGCTAGTGCAGACTGTGGGCTTCAGGGGACAGGAACACCTTGTGCTGGTTTAAAAAGGAAAAGTGTAGCACCCAGCATTGCTTCTAGCAATTTCCTGGGGGCTGTCAAACCTCCTGCTGGACTGGAGGAAAGCACTGAACAGAGGGATAAGTTTCATTTACCCTCTTGCCTCAGGTGAGAGTTGCTGGCATGTGGCCGCTCTGTAGTTAAGGGTGAAGGTTCTGAGCAGTGGGGAAAAAAAACTTGTTGCTATGTGCATGGTCTCTCCCTGTCTGGCAGCAAGCTGTTTAAAACAAACACAAACCCTAAGCATGTTGTATGTGTGCATTCCCTTCCTGCTCTTGGGGGAGAGAATGAGTCATGGGAGGACATTGCTCAGTACCCTGGAGGGTGATCTGGTCCTCTGAGGGCAGGGTTGGGACAAATTGAGCTGTGGGCCGGAGTTCCTCAGGGTAAATGCACCCTTGAACATGAATGGTAGCCAGTGAGACCAAAGTGAAAAGCCTCTACATGAGGACTTGCCAGAGGAGTTGTGGACGTGGACACAGACCTACCTGTTTGTGTGATAACCTGCACGAATGGGGAGATCCTTTGATTAATCTGTTGGTTTGCATACAGTGCAAGGTGCACCCCCCTGTTCAGCTTGGTTTGGGAGCATGTAACAATGTAAAGTTTTTCTTTTCCACTCCTGTCCTCACAGCTGTTGAAACTCAGCAACTGCTCTGGCCAAGTATTCCTCGAGTAAAGCCCCAGCTCCTGTACCATGTACCAGCCCAGCTTTGTACCGCGGGACTACTGTCCAGCCATGATCCCATCTCCTCCCCACACCTACCTACCACTGCGCCCTGCGAGAGCGGAAGACCCAAGCAGCTCCACGATGTTCCCTCCCATCTACATGCACAACTTCTACAGCCGCCCCATGACCTTTGTGATAGACAGAAGCAGCTACCCTGACTATGTGGGCAGTCAGGTGGAGTACCACCACTTGTACAGTGCTTCCAACCCTTACTTCCATCCATACTATACCTGGCATTTAGCCCCTGTGGTCCCTGTCCCACTGTATAATCCCTATGCAAACTACAATCCCTATGCTGCCTACCACAGGTCAGACCACTATCGAGACACATGGCCAGATGGCTTCACCATGAGAGGGGAGCTTCAGTGGGGGAAGCTTGCAAAGGTGTTTGGACCAAGGAAAGACCTCCCAGAATTTGTGAAGGATGATCTCCGGAGGGTTTACGGCACCTACCCACGGACCAATGTCTCCATCACCTACCGGAAAGGGGAGTTCTTAGTCAAAGCGGACCCCAAGGTAGGAGAGCAGGAGTACACAGTGGAGAAAAATGTCATCCAGAGGGCTCTGACCCCCAGTGCCAGTGAAGCAGATGACAGCAGTGAGGACCGGAACAGGAAGAAGAAAAAGAAACTGAGACGTTGATGTAGTTGGTCACACAATAAACATGCTCTGCAGCTCCAGGGAGTCAGCTGGAAGCTAGGAAGCAGCTCAAGCAATGGGTGCCACTGCTCCCCATGGCTTTTAACTCCTCTGTGTCCCTCACAAGCTTATGGTAGCTTCTCCTGTTTGATGCACAATGCCTGTCCTGTGAAGAAACCACCTGGCACTTGTCTGTCTGTCAGATCAGCTCTTTGGTCCTGGTTTTGGAATCCACTGGTTTGGTTGGGTGGCCATGGGCTGGGAGGGGATTCCCAGAGAGCAGCCCCTGGTGAGATGGCCCTCTTCATACACTGTCCAGGGGGAGGTCCTGGGAGCTGGATCCCTTTCTGGCACTCACCTGAGGAGATAAAACTGGATTTCCTTCAAGTTGAAGGCAGTGCAAGTCCCAGAGGGGAGAGGGGTGCTCTGGAACTGTAAAGAATATCTGTGTATCATCACTGCTGTTTTATGGATGTAGCACTTATGTACTTATGGTGTGATGCCCGCACACAGCACTTTGCTGCACTCTGGCAGAAGATCTCCGTGTCCTGATCCTCTTACACTTGGTAACCTTGTGCTTGATCCTCCTGGCCATGTGTCCTGGCTGAAGTGGCTGCCTGAGGCTCTCTCCTGGGTCTGACCCAGCTCTGGGCTGGGGGTGCTGCCTTGCTGCAGATAGCAGAGCTCTGTGTCCTGTGGCACCTCTGCAGCTGCTCTCCTGGGTCTGAGAATGACTTGCTTGTAAACTTGTGCTTTTTAAATGATTATAAATAAACAGTTCAAAAAAGAATGCAAATAGTTGTTTCTGCTTTTTAACTGTGAATGTTTCTCAACCTGTTCTGAAACCTTTCTACAAACTCAGGATCTTGACCTGTGTGGTTTGCTCCCTTCAGGTGTAAGTCTCCTTGCCTTGATGGTTGGTAATTGAGCCCCACTCCCATCAGTGAGGTGCCCCAGAAGTGTAGCTCTCTTCCCCCTGTAATTTTCTTCCAACAGGCTGTGTGGGAGATGAGCATCCCAATGGAAGGAAAGAAAGGAGTGCTCCGTGTCAGCATGTGGATGGAGACAGCCTCTGAGAGTGCATATGGAGACCCTTGCTGGCTTTGAATTACTATAGAGAAATGCAAGTGGATTTTTTCTTTTTATTTAATGTGACTGTTCCATTTGTTTCTCTGAAATGGGTGAGCTCTGCTGCCACATGAAGCAGTGAAAGCTCTGAACCAGAAAAGCTGCTACAGAAACTTGAAGCTGCTGCTGCTCCCTAGCTGTGCTGTGAGCAGTGGGGCCTGCTGAGTGGGCAGAGGTTGGCTCTGCCGATGGCTGGTGGTTATCCCTTCTGAAGGGCAGCAGTTTAAGCAGTAATCCCAAAGCTTGCACTTCAGATCCTTATGTGGCGATGCAGCAGTCAGATATGGTGCTGCAGGTTTTCTCCGGCATCACAGAGCTGGTGCAGGTGAAGCTGGGCTGTGTTAGGTGAGTTTCTGCAGCAGGTGCAGGCGGCACATCTAAGGGACAGAAGGGGAGCAGGGGGTTGCCTCCTGATGGTGGTCAGATGCTGCATGAATTGCCAGGACCTGCATCAGTTATCTGGGAGAGACATTTAGGATGTTTCTGCTGACAGTTTTGTAACATGGTGTAATGGAAATTGTTCCCCAAACTTGGCCAAAGCCTCCCAGAGTCATACTATGGGCGGGTGGAAAGAGCCAGTTGTGTCCAGAAAAGCTTTCTATGGAATAATGCTGCTGATCTGTGTGAACACTTGGCAGGAGCACTGCCTGTCTCTGCTCCCACAGCCTGCCATGACCTGTCCTGCTGGGGACAGCCCAGGGAGCAGGCATGGCCCATGGCTTTAGCCTGGTCTGTTTGTCTTCTCCATGTTTTATTGGGTTACGCTGCCCGGAATCTGATTTCTAGGCACACCCAGGCTGCTGTGTTGACAATGAATATTTTTAGCACAGGCTTACAACCATCAGGAGGCAGCAACGTTTATTTCCTTAAGTTCCATTCCACTTCCAGATGGAAGAACCATTTTATAGCAGGGCTTTTTAGCCCTTTGGGGAAGCCCGCAACAAATGACCGCTGCCTCAAGCAGCTCTGAGTGCGGGGCTTTCCGCTGTGGTCATAACTCACCTCCATCCCTGCTGGGATCTCTGTGTGTGTTTCTGCAGACACAGCACTCAGCTCTTCTCTCTTCCTGAAGGCTGGAGGCTTATTAGCTGCCCAACTGCAGAACTGAATCCATAGGGCATTTTCGGATGCTTTAACGCCTATGGAATTCAGTTCTCAAAGCCAAGCAGCCAGTCCTCGCCGACTTCCCACTGCCCCGTGCGACTGGGTCTCCATCTGCAAGGAGGAAAAAATAGCAAAGAGCTCACAGTGCCGATGACGCAGTGCAGGCAATGAGCTGACACAGATTTTGCACTGGGGAGCTGCTGTGGGAAGGGGGCTCTGGCACTGTTCTGCCCCAGGTGCAGCACAGGGAGCTGCAGCTTTATTTGGAAATGTTGCTGAAGTTGGCTTTTTTTTTTTTTTCCTAGTGCTTCCACATGTCACCCTGTCATTTGGAGCTGCTACAGAGCATCAGGTCAGCCCTGAGCTCTGCAGTATGCTGGGAGAATTACTGCTTCTTCTAGATGTGGATGTTGGGAACAGGTGCCTTAGGAATTTTGTCTATGTACCTGCTTGCAGCTTGTGCTGCTGCTGATGCCACAGGTGGGCAGTGAAGGGGAAGACACGGGGACCCTGGTGAGCAGCACCAAGCTGCTGCCAGCAGACGGGGCAGAGCCTGTCCTCACTAAATGACATTTGTTTTCAGCCCAACCAGGAGCTGGCAGCCGAATGCACAGGAGACATTTTTTGGCTCAGCTGTGGCTCAACGCAGTGCTGACGGCAGCAGCTCACGGTCGCTGGGAAGGAGCACAGCTGGGAGGGTGCATGCGGGAGTCGAGCCCCCAGCTCTGACAGCTCGGCTTCAGGATGGGAAATGACACATGGCCTTGAAGCACCAGCAGAGATTTCAGTGAGGAAGCACCCAGCAGGTTTTGGCATGAGGAACAAGCTCTGCGGTGGCTAAGCAGCCTGCCTGGGCATCTATTTAAGTCTGCCTGCAGGGAACCCAAGTTCAACTGGGGCAGTGTGGATCCCCCATCCTGGCTGGGTGCCTTCTGCTGCCACTGTGTCGGTTGGGAGAGGTGGCTCAGTGCCCTGGCAATGCTCTTTCAGGCTGTCTCTGGCTCTCAGCCACTGTGAGCAGCCACTGCTTTGTGAGACTGAAAGGCAAAGGAGAGGGAAAAGCTTTCCCTAGGCTTCCACTGTGTGCTGATTTCCAAAGGAAAGGGAAGGGTTTCAGGCAGAAAAGCAGGAGGGAGGTCAGCCTTGACATGTCCTCCCTGTCATGTCCCAGGAGATGTCCCATCCCTCTCTGTGCAGCCTGTGGAAGTGATGGCCGTGGGGCCACACAGTATGCCTAGTGGTGTACTCTTACCTATCCTGTGCCCTGGCATGCCTGGATGGAGCAGGGCAAGCCCCAGCCAATCTGGTTTTGGCATCCTGACTGTGGGGCCTAGGCATCTCCCACAGTACTAGGGCAGTTTGCCCTGGGCATGGTGGGAAGCATGTGGGAACTGAAGCACAAACAGCTCCAGATGCTTCATTTTGCCTGTGGCTATTCCTGCAAGCTGCATCCCCACAGTGCAGCATCCCTGAGGCTCTACCACAGGCACGGCACTGCAGGCACCTTCAGGAAGCAGGGGCTCATCTGGCAGAAACTGGTTCCTACATGGCGTTTTGGGGAGCTGAGATACTGGTGCATCCCATGTGCTGCCTGTGCCAGGCTCCTCTCTGAGCTCTGCCTTTCGGTGTCCCATCTCCAGGCTAATAAGGAAGCTGTGCCCTGGCGTTGGCAGTGCCAGCTAGTTAGTATGGGAGCTACTGATTAGAGAGGATGTTCCTGGGACCAGGCAGCAGCATCTCATGGGTGTTGCACACCCTTGGCACAGGACATTCATCCAGATGGTCCTGCTTTGTCTTCTCAGGAAGTCTGCAGAAATGGTTATGCACAAACACCCCCCTCCATGGTTAAATGTCAGTGGGATGGCTCCAGTTCCACAGATTGCCCCAAAAGCTGCAGCTAGAACTGAAGCCAAGCTGGAGAAGCTCAAACTTGTGGATCTGCCATCTCCTTCCCTGCAGCCTGTGTTAGAGCAATCAGCCTGACAGCAGCAAGATGCATCTTGCTGCTTGCCCTCACCCACAGCTGGGCTTCAGCTCCTGGAAGAGCAGCAGCATGGGAGCAGCCCTCACCCTGGCTCTGGCATAGCCCCCCCCCGCAGCACTCGACCCCGGCACTCACCGGCAGCTCCCGGCTCTGTCTCTCTGGCAGCAGGACTGTGAGCCGTGCCGCGGAGGCACCGTTAAATACTGCAGCCGTCTTACTCACTTCTCTTCCTGGATGGCAGCGTGCGGGGTTCCCACCCACTTCTTTCACCTTTGGTTTCCAGGCTTTCTGAGAAAAGGGGAAGCCGTGGGAGGGAGCGACCGGCATCCCCGTTCCAGGGAGCCAGTTGTGGGGAGATGCGGCCTCCAAGAGGCTCTGACACCCTGGAAAAGGGCAGATGTGGGAACATGGGCTGCTGCCTTGGGCACAGCCAGGAACCACCAGTGCTATGGGGCTGAGGGGCTTCTCCTGCCCTGACTGAACTTTGCCCCCCCTGGCACTGCTCAGGAAACACTCAGCTGTGCCTTTGGGGACGAGGTATTCCCTCTAGGACTCAGATGGGACTTAGCATCACCCGGCCTTGGGTCAGCCACCTCCTCTCCCACTGCTCCCAGCCTGGAGGTGACACCCAAATCACTCACATGTGTGGTGAGCGGTGTCTGGTCTCAGCCTGACTGCTGGCTGCATTGGGGCATGCGTGCGCCTTTTAACCCACTTGGGACACCTCCAGCTCCACAGATGTGTGCGGCCCTTGCAGCCACTGCTGGCTTTGGCGGGGTAAGGGAGGGCTGCTGGGACTTCTTTTCCTCAAGGTGACACTGACTGCTGTCCTGCTGCTGTCCTGCCCCCTCGCACCACTGGGCGCCATTGTTCTGCTCAGACATGGCATCAGGTCCCCCAGGGCTCCCCTCTGGGTTGGAAGCGAGAGCGTGATGATGGCAGGGGCTGCAGCACTGAGCCAACACTCCCTGTGCTCCTACAGCAACGGGCAAACACATCAATATGGGAAAAGGGTACACGGGTGGAAAGCAGCACCAGCACTGCTATCTGCCTGGGCTGTGAGTGCCTGTGTGCTCTGCTAACAATTGTCAAACGTTTGTGCCTCTGGGGGCTGTGTGTTTCAGGGCAGGAAGCACCCGGAAGGCTGCAGGGCTGAGATTACTAAGCTGCTGGCGGTGGGGCTCCAGTGGCTGCTTTGCACCTGAGTGCATGAGATGGAGCCAAGGGATTTACCACACCGATCCTTAATGCAGCCAGCATCTCCAATTCAAAGAGCCTGCACAGCAATGGCTCTGCTCATACTGCAGCCCTCTGGGCTAAGCTTCCCTCCACCTGAGGAGACACTTCTTTCCCATGTCACATTTTCACATCCTTAGAGAACTTTTGGCCACACAGACAGAAACTGGGGGACATTTCGTGAGCCCACAGGAATGCAAAGAAATGGAAATGACTGGGGGGACACACAGGATAGAGGAAACGAGCAGCCTCCTCACGCTTGCTGCACTGGAAGCACAATCAGCGGGAAGGGAGTTTCTCAGGGATTGTTTTTCCGCTCCAGGTTCCCGTTTTCCCTCCAGCCCTGCTGGGAAGGGCTGGTATTTTCCCTGATGGACAAAGCCGTGTTTCTGCTTGAAAGAATCCTCAGCAGGGTCAGGAGTTCCGTGTGGCCAAGCAGGATGGGTCCTACAACAGGTTCAGATCTGCGACCCAGCCAGTGCCAGAGCCCCAAGTGCCAGCTCTCAGCTCCTGCACCCGAATCTAGTGGCAACAGCCCCTGAGTTGGGCTGGAGTCAGGAGGACCCTTCATCAGCAGCCTCACATTGGGATTTTGGGCGCTGAGCCCTGGTCCCACAGCTGGGTTAGGGGCATGCAGTGTGCCAGTTCCCACAGCACTCCATGCTCACAAACATCTGACAAGAAATGCCAAGGGAAATGTCAGCATCGCTAAGGCAAATCCTTATAGCTAGCACTGCAATCAACACGATATAAAGGCTTGGGGATTGGCCAGCACTGCTCTTTGCAAATGGCAATCTTTCCTTATACGTGGGGGACGCTGAGAGGTAAGAGCTGGCGTGCTCTTAGCGCTGTAAGCATTGCACGGGGTAGTGGGATGCAGGCGCTTGGTGGTGCTGGGCTGCAACTCCCCAGACCGGGAACTGGGTCAACACTGCTCCCGGAAATCCAGCGGGGATCCACCCACTGGTTACAGAGGAAAGTGCAGTGAATCATCTGTGCATGGTAGGAAAACGCACCAATCGTTGGGGGTTTTCAGACCTTTCCAGGCAAACCGAAGAAGCAGGAGCCGGGCGTGGAGGGACTGAATCCTACTCAGCATCCTGTGGGGTACCCAACTTGTCCCAACCACCCTACAGGGCAGCCCTGTGCTGCAGGCTGGCAGGATGGAGGTGACAAACAGTTATCTGCTGCAGCTGCCCACTCGCATGGCACGGAGCCCTGGGGATGCCATATGGTGCTTCACCGAGCCTCCAGGACGCAGAGCTGGGAGGGCCCCTGAGGCAGTGGGCACGGAGCGGTGGTTCATCGGGTCACGGGAACACGCCGGCAGCGGGCACTAGGGGGCTGCACGCTCCTGCTGTTGCTGTCGGAGGAGCTCAGAGAGCGGCCGTTCTGCTATGGGCTCGATGACCCGATGGAGAGAGCAGCGTAACTTCGGAAAACCATCCACTGCGTACCTGAGGTGGTGGCTTTTTTTTTTTGTTCCTAAATATGAGTTCCTCTTACAGCTATCAGGAGGAAATTAAAGCGCCCTCTGGTACAGCATCTGCTTTCTGTTGGAAATGCAGGATATGGTATGGTAGTTAAATCTCCTGTTGGTGTGTTGGGTTTTTGTGTTTTTTTCTCACTTGCAATGCAAGGGTTTGGTGCAATCCCTGCTAGGGAAAACGTTGTTGCTGCAGATCCCAGCCCCCTCCAGCAACTGTTTGTGTGCAGAGTGCACACCAGTGCAGTCCTGTAGCAAAGCAGCAGGCTGGGGAACTCTACTGAAATGTGTAAGCTTTCCTCTTGCCTATGGAGGTGCAGTGCAGAACCCAGCATGGGCTGGGATGGGAGGTGTTCTGTGCTGGATGCAGCTGCAGCAGTGGTCCTTGGACGTCAAACTGCCACGTAAGCCTCAGCTGTGGGATCTGCACTGCAGCAGTTGCCCTTAACTCAAGGCTTGATGTGCGGATCAGAACAGGCAGCAGTCTTTCTTTGGTAGCTTATCTGCAGCTGTGGGAGGCTGAGGGTATCTGCCCAGACTCACTCTGAGATTGAGAAGGTCAGGTTTGGCTGGAAGCAGGAGGCTGTGGTAGAGAGAGGCTGCTCTGAGATGAAAACATGCAACAGAGTATGAAGAGACCCCCACTGGTGCTGCAGCCAAAACTGAGAAACACACTAAAACTTCACTACTGCCCTTCTTGGAACCTGAACATGGTCACATTAATACAGTGCGACTGCATTAACATAGCTGTACTCAGTAGCCCAGCAAAAGAGCATCACACTTGCTGTTAACACAGGCCATAGTTGCCAGTGCTGAGCATACAGCATCAGCCCCATGGTGTTGCATATCCATTGCTAACTTCGGATAGATGTGTTAAGGATGGACTTTCTTGAACGCATGAGGAGCTAATGTGTAGTGACAATGCTTTGTAATGCCTGAAAATCCTTAGTATGAAGAACATTAATGACTGCTGTAGAAATGCCTGACTTTTCTTAGGTGGGAATTGTTCCAGCCAACCCTGCATATTGCCCAATTTTGTGTATTTCTAGCAGCAATTTGGCTGTAGATCCAAGAAAAGCCTATGACTCATTTCAGCCCTGCGGTATGGGCCAGCAGTACGGGAAAGCTTGCTTGAGTGCTAAACTGGGAGGGTGCAGAAAAGCATGCGAGGCGGGAAGTGAGCTACGCTTGCTGCCCTGTGCCTGCAGGAAATGAACGCAACAATTTAACTTGAACTCTCAGGAAGGGTGAAGTTTACTTTAAAGAAAACTTATTTCACTCCTATTTTCACAAGCTTCATATGTTCATCCTCCCACACTCATGGATGCCAAGGCAAGGCCAGAGCTGCCTGACCTGCAATGCTTGTGTGATGCAGTGGATGAGATGCTGCTGATCCTGTGAGCAGCCCAAGCCCAGCTTTTGAACCAGTTTTGGGGCAGGCCTCTTACCAGCCCTTGCTTAATTGTTTTGGTTCTCTTACAACAACCTTAGCTTTTCTGCTATGAATCTCTGCGTTGCTCTATGAGTGCCTGGAACAGGCAGGTGGATGTTCTGCATTTTGTGGGTGTGAGATGACTCCCAGAGCTCCAGTGGGTGGGAGCAGTCCCTCCACAGGCTGTTCCACAAATGTTGCTGCCGCCCTGGTTTTAGACACAAAACATAGCTCCAGATGGACACACAGACAAGCTGTAAGAGACCTGCAAACTGTTGGCTTTCCCAGCCTGCTAAGTCCCTAAATGAATCATCCTACTGGAGTAATCATGTTCCTTCTGAAAGTCAGCTGGGATTTCATGTTTATTCCTGATATCAGCAGCAGAGTTGAAGGGGGAAGTAATAACTAAAAGAAGAGAAGGAAAATCTAAACATTCCCTGCTCCTGTCTATTCCTTGCCATATACACATTCAAATCTGTTACCTGTTTTCTTTTACCTCCTGTTTCATCCTCGTATGTGCCACATACAAAGAAATGGAGCTGGTCTTTGCTCCTCATCCCTCTGCTATTGCTGTATAGGTATAGCAAAATAATCCTAGGCAGGCTTGAAGGAAAAGAAGCCTCATTCTGCAGCTGCTCAGGTGGGATACGGAGAAGCAGGGCTGAGAAGCAGGCAGATGCAGGCACCAAACTGCACTGAGCACTCAGGGTGGTAAAAGATGGGTGTGAACACAGCTGTGGGACAGCCAGCCTGCAGCGCTGGTAGCTAAGAGCCAGGCATAGCTTAAAAGCATGATTAGCTCACATGTAATCAAAAAGACTGATGAGAAGAAATGTGATAGCAGTGAAAGGAGCAGTACACCCAAATAAGCATGGAGCAATTCTGAATTCAGCTCTGTTTTCCAGCTTCTCAGTGTTTGGTTTGCTTGGTGCAAACAGATGACATGAAGGGAAAGTAAGGCTCCACCTTTCCTGGGTGCAATTAGTAGCTGCAGGGGTAAGAGTTATTCTAATTAAGAGAAGTTTAAAGTTGTTCATATTCTGACAGCTGTACTTGTGCGCCCAGTGAGTGCTGCTGCGCATGTACCACCGACCAAGGCCTTCTGAAGGGCGCACACAAGCTGTATCCGCACCCAGAGCGCCAAGCCCAGGGCACCGCCCCGCGTTCCCGCCAAAGACTGGGCCCGCCCCCTCCAGGCAAGCACCAATCAGAGCGCCGGGCAGCGGGGAGGAGCGGTGACCGCTCTCCCCTTCTCCTTTCGGCGCGGGAGGCTGGTCCCACCTCCCGCTCTCGCCGCAGCCAATCGTATCTACGCTTTGTCTCCCTGTCCCGCCCGCGAAGGTGAAGAACCAATGCGAGGCGCGAGTCCTTCAGGCGCTCGGCCAATCGGTGAGCTAGCCTAACACCGCCACCGCCTCACGCCTACGGCTCCCGGGTGAGGGTCTCGGGCGCGGCCGTGCTATGGTGCCGGGGTCGGGCGGTGATTCCACATCTCCACCTCTCCTCGCAGGGTCGTTCGGCTGCCGCGCGCCATGACCCGTCCGCTCGGCGTGGGCTCGCCATCACCGAGCCCGGCCTCTACCCGCTCCGGGCGCCATTTTAGGCCGACAGCGGGCAGGGGGTCGGCCCAGGACTGCAGGTACGGGCGAGGGGCGGCGGTCCCGCACGGAGGGAGAGGGGGGCAGCGGGGCCGGTTCTGTGCGGAGCCGGGAGTTGGTCTCGACGGCCCTTATCCGGAACGCTGCGTGCCGGCCGGGAGCGCTCAGCGCGGGGAGAGCGTGGAGCTGTTGGGGCGGGTCCGGAGGAGGGCACGGGGATGCGCGGAGAGCTGGAGCCCTATGGAGGCTGGGCGAGGGAGATGGGCTTGGAGGAAACGGCTGCGGAGCACCTCGGCGCGGCCCTGCAGTGCTTGAGGGGAGCTGGCGGGCGGGAGGGAAGCGGCGTCGTGTGCGGGGTGACGGTGGCGGGGCAAGGGGGAGCGGCCCTGAGCTGATGGGGAGATGTGGGTTGGATGTCAGCAGGAAATCCATCGTCAGAGGGCTGTGAGGCACCTGCACCGCTGCCCGGAGCTGTGGGTGCCTGTTGCTGGAGGTGCTGGTGCTGGGTTGGATGGCGCTGGACTGGTGGGACATGCAGCCCGTATCGGAGTGGAGCTGGGTGACCGTTAAGATCCCCTCCAACACGTTCTGTGATCCTTTTGTGGCCCTTCCAGCTTGGGACTACATGTGGTTCTGTGGTTCTCTGCTGTGTGTGTGACTGCTGGCTCTGGTTGCACAGAAAGGCTGGGCCCAGGTGAGCCCCAGCACTCCCTTCCACCTCAGCTGCCTTGCGGTGGGCAAGCAGCCTGGCAGTGACAAAAGGAGTTGATGCTGGGTGGTGTTTTCAGATCGTCGTCCAAAATCTGTGAGTCCTGTAGCTGCCTGCATGCCCGTCGTGTCTCACTGCTTGCTGTCAAGCCTGTCTGCAGGCTTCAGCAGTTGGACTGTAAAGAGAAGCCTTAGGTTGCCGCTGGTAGTGCCCCCCATTGTAAAATGTACTCTCATAGAAGTTCTGTTAATAGCACAGTTAGTCTTCAGATCTGATGAATCTGCCCATGTTCTGAAAGTCTTAATTCTGCCTAAAGACTTGGATAAGGCTTTTCAGAGGCTGCCAGATCAAGGAGGTTTTGCTTCTAGCTGTATGAGGCAAGTGGCAATTGTCTTACGCTGTTAGCAGAGCCTTATTTTGTTTGTTGACACGGATCCTCTGTTTTGGTAACCCTGAAGGCTGGAAGAAAGGTTGGAGCTAGAAGGTCAGTTCCTCTTCTGTTGTTGCCTGCCGGTGAAAGTGAAAGTACTCACATGGTTCAGTTTGGCTGCTCATGAATATTTAAAAACAACTTTGATCTAAGAAAAAAAAAAATAACATTTTGCTGTGTGACAGTCCTCTAAAAGAACATTGTGAGGTTTTATGCATGACTGTATAGTTTTTTTTTATCATTAAGATGGTACTTTTCAAGGTTTTTCAAGATAAAGTTGCTAGGTAAAAAAGCAGTAGATAGTGATTAATGTTGATTCATCAGTTGTTCCTCCTCTTAGGGCTGGTTTTTGTCCTTCTATTAAAGCAGTAATGGAAAGCTGCTTGTTACAGCCCTGTGCTCTTGGGAAGTTGTGTATTTTCATAAGCACGAAGATCAGAATGGAAAGCGTGATGTTTTTCATCTTTTTCCTTCTGCTGTACCGTAAGCTTGTTTGCTTTCTTCTCACAACTCATTTATTTGTTTGAAGTTTCTGGTACGTTTCTGTGCCCAAGAAACATCACATCACAATGCAGTCAAGTCCAATTTCTATCCCAAGCAAAACAAACGAAAAACCAACCAACAAACAATCCACTTTTTATTGATAGCACCTCTGGTCTCTCAGCTGTGGATTTACTAGGCTCTGCACGATTATGGTGCAAATACGGTGCTTGTTACAAAGTACTTGCATTCAACTGAAGGGCAGCGAAAGGATTCCACTGAGGTAGGGATATGGTTGGGAGAGGATGAGCAGAGCAAAGGTCTTTGGCTTTGGTTTATCTTCAAGTGCAGAGAAGGAATCTGTGCAGTAACTGGAGATGAGATTCGGTCTGCCCAAGTGGTTTGTATTG